ATAAATACGCTGTGTGGGCAGAATGCAGAGTTTTTAATACTCGTATTAAAGCAAGTGCTACATATAGTTACCAATATGACTCGAAGGAATAATATTTTAAATCACAAAGATAATTAATCTGCATCCTCATCAAGGCATTGGATACTCTTCCCGTGCCAAACAAACTCCGAACTTAACAGAGGCATCTGTACGAATGTGGCTGGACGACTGAAGGGTTGGATTTCGAGTCCCGGTAGGGCCAAAATGTTCTCTTCTCCAAGACGTCTAAACCAGCTCTGGGGTCCACCCAACCTCCTATCCAATGGGTACCGGGGGGCTGTTTCCCCAGGGGTAGAGCAGACCACTCGCCTCCAAACTAGTGCTGAAGTCAAGAAAACGTGGATCTATACATCCACTCCCTCATAAGCCTTCATGGCGTAGCGCTTAATTAATTAAGCACAGAGACAACTTAGTTTTCGTCTGTAGGAATGCAGCAGAGAGAGCGAGCGGAGTTATACTGCATAGTCCGTTATGCCCCAGGCTGCGCGGTCTAGTGTCGATTGGCGAATGATTAATGGATAATGGATTGAAAAGGATGTTGAAGGAAGAGGTCGTGGCCTAATTTTAGATATCATCCGGGGTTTACGTCGAGGGATACGGAAAACCTCAGGTTAGTCGGTTTCCGGGCCGAGATTGAAACCCAGGGCCTCCCAGAACAAGACAAGAGCATCAGTCACTCGAGCACGACGTCTGTTTGCATAGTCATGAAGTCAATTTCTCCTGTTCCCCATCACCCGCTGCGTGACCCCACAGGGTCAACTCAGGCAACATGCGTACATACTCATCAGCTTAGCAAACATGTTTTCTCTCTCTCTGGCCCTACAGCCCTTTGGACTTTGGCCGCTCTTTTAGCATCTTGGTTCGGCATTCTTTGTCTTCTCATGTTGTCATACGGAAGCCAAGTCCTCGATCCCAGGACCTGTGTGATCAGAGGAAGACGCAGCCCGCTTGCTTCTGAAGTCGTCCAATTTAAGCTAGTGATTAAATTGGAATATTAAGAGTAAGACTTGGTGTAAGCGGCGTATAAACAACTGACACTTATATCCCTGCGGCACGGAATAGTGGTGCCATAGTGTCAGTTGTTACGTGAAACCAATATAAATATATATATAATGAGCAAAGGATGCCGCTTATCGTTTGAAATATTACACTTCGCAGCTGCAGTCCAGCGAGGTCTCAGGAATCGTTGGGAATATCGCTGGACCAGCGGCTTCGAAGATATAATTGTAAGAGCGTATTGGAGGATTCAAAGTTGTAACACCCGCCTTCCGTTTGAATGATCGAATCAGAAGCGATGATGACATATATCTGCGAGGGTGGGAGAATTAATGTCCCCAAACTCAAGGATATAGTCCGAGCTTCAAGAGGACTTCTAATTTGGTCATTTCGACCGATAGACGTGTTCTGCAAATAATATATTAAACCAGTAAGCAATTGTAATGTGTGCAGTCGTAATATCATTACCCTTTGTCTCATAATCCAAGACCCGTAAACGATCCTGAGGAAGACTTTCATTGCCACCGGAACCCAACCAACATCAGAAAATAAAGGGCGTAAGAGCGGTTGCACTTCAAGATGGAGCCCCTATTCCAGTGGGATTCAAGTGAGGGTCGTGCACCCCCGCCCCTTTGCGGCCGTTAGTTGGGGTTGGGAGGGGGATGTGGTTTTTCCTGGGAAAGTTATATAGTCGAATTGAATCGATCATAATTCCCTAAATATTACAGAACAATTGATTTCGTTCATTTTTAAAAACATGATGTGATTCATTAATTGATAAAAACCTTAAATGTGCACATGTTAAAAATTTGGGACCACTGCATCAAAGGCGACGACAGGAAGGATACACATACGCTAGTGACACACACGGCGGATTTTTCCGTGGCGGAGAGTTTACCGTCGCCGCCGTTCCAACAGTAGCCCACTGAAGTAAATTAGAGCTTATACATTAGACGAAAAAAAAAACGATCGGTCAATTTGCCGTCAGCGGTAGCTGTGCTGCCGTCGGGTGCCACTGTACGCTGACGGAAGTTTTACCGTCGGGGTCTTTAAAAAACAGAAACCTTCAAGTACTGGCGTACGTGACTAAATGCACGTTTACACATATGGCACAATTCCTCATTTTGGTATTTTTGCGCTGAATGGTATCTTTCAACCGGCCATGCAGTCCATCAAAGGAAGTCATCGACATTCTGAAGTAATTGAAGAATTTCGTTTCATCCTGCCTCAATTCTTCAAACAACGTGTAGAAAGCTCCAACTTCCTCTCTTCTTTCATTTATTTGATGAACCGAAGTTAGTCGATTTTTTCTTCTCCTTTTCATTCGACGACGGATTAACAATAACGCTAGAAGTTGCTTTCTGTTCATTTCAATCTACACTAATTTGAATAACACAACTGATGTGTTATGATCTGAAGATGAAACTACACTGCCTATACCTACCAGCTTACTCGTACGACGGTGACTGAAATTTTTCCGCCCCGTGTGTAAACTCTCGATTTCTTTGAGCGGCGACGGTAAACTCTCTGCCACGGAAAAAT